ATAAAAAATAAAAGAGTTATAAATTTTTGAAAATTAAATCAATTAAAATATAAAATCAGAAAATAAATAAAACCAAAAAGATGTGGGCCATCAGATCATAGTCAAAACGCGTTAGTAAGCTGATCCAATGGACCAGACGCGTTGTGCTTGATATGGACCTTAGTGAGATACGCATAGGATCAGAAAGAAGGCAACCAATGAAATTAAAACGTTTGACACGCTATCATTGGCTGAGACGAGACATATCATCGTCTTCAACCTCCAGACGCCCTGCAATAGAGATTTTGTGAGATCCTTCAAATGGAAAAAATAGGATCCTAGACTAGTATCATTGGGTTCGTCTCTTCAAGACGATCCTAACATCACCGTCGCGCCAAATTTTTATAAGGTATGCAAAGAGATATGAATCAAAAACCCAGAAAATAGCGAACACCTTCAATTTGATATTTCTCTCTCAATTATCAATGATTTTAAAAATTGTAAGAAGCGCAAGAATCAGGAGAAGGAGTAGAATAGGTTGGTGTTTTATTTGGATCCAAATTATGGAGAATTCTACCTTTTCGAAGTTCAAGAAAGAAGCTCTGAAATTGGACTTTTGTAGCTTGAATTATGGCTCGTTTTGCTTAGTTTAAGTGTTGGAGAGTTTGTATGATGCTTAAGGATGATGAATGTGCAAAGAATTTTGGAGAAAGAAGCTTAAATCTCAGAAACTGATTTCAAAAAAGATGGGTTCGTGTGAGGTTTTGGCAGGATGCTTTTGGCTCTCAAAGCTTAAGGAAATGAATGGGGAATGACCCTCTATTTATAGGGAAGCTGATGGAACGTCCAAGCGTGTGAAATGATGAAGTTTGGAGGGAAATTGTGTGAAGTTGCAAACAAGAAAAGTGTGACTTCTATTTTAATCAAAACTCATTCAAACCTTGTGTTTTGTTATGCTAATCACTTCTGGAAGCTCACTAAACATGTTTAGAAGCAAAAACGCACAACAATTTTGTGTTTAGAAGCCAAATTAAGGATTTCAAATTCTGACTTTTGGAGAAATCTCAACTCCAAGTTACCACTTTTGAAACAATGGCATTCTCAGCTCAAGGGGTCTTAGGGCATGATTTTTGATGCTTTAGAAAGATGAGATTACAAGCTTTGCGATGGAAAAAGAATAGAATCAAATGGATGTTTGAACTGAAAGTTGCAATGAGTCCAAGTTGGGAAAAAGAGGTTGACTTTCCATACTTAGAAATATTTCAAGTTTTTCTTCAAAAGTGACCTATAATGTTTTGCATCCAAACATGGCCTTCCTCTTGGAATTTGCTCTTAACCAAAAAAGATGGCATGAAATAGACCTCTTGAATGACATTTTGAAACTTGAACCATTCAAAATCTCCAAAAATTGAGAGAGTTATCAATTGTTGAAGTTGGAAAAAAATCATGAAATGACCTATAATCTTTTGTATCCTTAAGGCATCCTCTATCCATTTTCTCACTTTGAACATAAAAGAAGGAATAAATTTCACATCCTCAAGATAATTGTGGAAAAAGAGTGGGCTCAAGGTGATAAAAGTTGACCAAGTTATGATCATTTGAAGTCACACATAGGAAGTTGGGGGTTCATATGGAGGACTTGTAATCTTTCTTCATCATCAAGTTTCTTCCACATGAAAACTCCTTGAAACTTTTGAAGTGATTTGTTAATAACCCTTTGAAGAGAATGATGTTTTTGGAATCACTCAAAAATATCAAAACATGAGCAAGATATACTTCTTTGAAGTTCAAAACCCTTGCTCCTAGATCAAGAAAATGCTTTGAGGAACTTTGCAATTTTAAACAACCTTCTTGTACCAATACTTTTGCTTTGTAGATAGAAGTTATTAAGGATGATAATGAAAACTCATAGCAACCAAAACCACTTCCATATCTTGAGAATTTGAGAGAAATATGCACTTGTGACCAATGGGAACAAGGCCTTGTCCCACCATGACAACTTCTTCAATCAACCCCTTATACTTTTGAATCAATCTTGATAACTTTGAAATATGGTGAACCAAAATAAACCTTGCCATGCCATTTCTTCCAAAAACAACTTTAATGGTGAGGTTTGAATTTCTCAAGCTTTATTGACTAGGGCATGGAAATAAACTCATGAGCCCATGGATCAACTTGCTAAGCCACATTGCATTTACCTACATTATTAACAAGTAAGACAAACCAACATTGCATTTTATTAATTAAAAGGAAAGTCAAAACAAAACATGCATGATCACAAAAGAAAAACAAGTCAAGGTGCTTGGTGATTCCTCAAAGAGCAAAACTAAATATAGGGAGGAGAATCAAAAGCCCTAATGTGATCTTGTTGTGATTGAATCAATATGGTATGATAAAGGGATCTTAGGGGCAAAAATTGGGATACAACATAGAGGAACCAGTTCCCAAGTACCACTATTTTGAAGAGCACACATTTCATCAATCATTGCTTGCCTCCACTCAGGGTGAGATAATGCTTCACCGGGAGATTTAGGAATAGAAATAGAAGACAAAGAGGACAAACAAGTATATTGCAAAGGGGAAAGACGATGATAACATAAATCAATATAATATGGACAAGGATTTCGTATTTGACATATACCTTTGCGAAGGGCAATCGGAAGATCAGACTCGGGTTGCAGGATTGAATTTGATGATGGTGATAGCGTCGGATAAGAGTCTGCAATGACCTCAGGAACAGGTACGACCTCAGGGACATGTACAACCTCAGGGGCATGTACGACAGATACATTGGTTTACGATGCTAATATGTTTGACGTGGGCAAGAAATTAAGGGGTCAACCATAGGGGTTTCTCGTGGGATAGGTTCCCAGAATGATGGGGGATAATGGGAAATGGGACTTCCGGAAGAGGCGTGGGAGTACTTTCCTTAAGGGGTTCCGGAGTGACTTGGATGGACATAAAATATGGCACAAACTCGAAGAAGGTAATATCAGCCGATATCAGGTATCATTGCAGAGTGTGTGAGTAGCAACAATAACCCTTTTGGGATCAATGATAACCAAGAAAGACACACTTTAGTGATCGAGCTGATAGTTTATCAAGACCAGGGGGAGATTATACACAAAACATGTAGACCTGAAGACTCAAAGAGGAATTGGGTGAAAAGGAGAGTTTGGAAACAAGATTGAATGAGGGATTTTATTATTAAGGACAAATAAGGGCATGCGATTTATGAGATAACACGATGTGAGCACAACATCCCCCCAAAATCTAAGAGGGATATTACCATGGAGAAGTAGAGTCCGAGTGATTTCTACGAGATATCGGTTTTTGCGTTCGGCTACCCCGTTTTATTGAGGTGTATAAGGGCAAGATGTTTGGTGCAGAATACCATTGGATGACATAAAAGTTTGAAATTGTTGGGATAAATATTCACGTGCATTGTCACTTCTTAAGGTATGAATGGACAAACCAAATTGGGTTTTTATTTCTCGATAAAATTGTTCAAAAATAGAAAACAATTCAAATATATTTTTCATTAAAAATAGTCACGTGCAACGTGAAAAATCATCAATAAATGTTACAAAATACCTAGACTCAAAAGTAGACATGGTACGTGATGGACCCCAAACATCAAAGTGAACTAAAGCAAAAAGGGACGCAGCCCATTTATTGACTCGATAGGGAAAGTGACTACGAGTATGTTTCCCTAATTAACAAGACTCACACTGTAAAGTGGATAATTTAGATAAATTGGGCACAAACTTTTGTAGCTTGGGAAGACTTGGATGACCTAATTGCGCATGTATAATGAGTGGAGAATCTATGGTGGAGCGTGTGGTAGATGACGTAGAGAAGTAGTAGAGGCATTGACACTCACATCTGACGCCAATCGTCTGTCCCGGAGGAGAAAGGCGGTTTTCCGGTATAAAAAATTGTGAATAGTAGCCCGCGGAAAAAAAATTCTCGTGGACAGTGCGGCGGCAAGGGTCGTTGGAAAAAACATTAAAATAAAAGGTGAGGTAAACCGGAATGATGACACGTTTGCAGAAGAAAATTTCTCACCGGAAGACAATGGGTCAACCGGATAAAGCACGACGAAGAATTTCTTCTTAGAAGGCTCTGATACCATATTGAATTAGGAGAGATTAAGAGACATTTAGGTTAAACTGTGTGTTTTGAAAGCACTACGAAGACTTTATTATATATAGAGATATTACAACTAATTACACAATATAATCAATGTGAAACTATTCTACATACAAATATTTTTAACAATATATATTTACAAATATCAACAACTTCAAAACCTACAAAATATAGAGTTTCAAAATAAACATGGAACTTCTGCTATGATGTTTTCATTGCGGACTTAAATATAGGTAGTTAGAAGAAAAATGCAAGATATACTAACCCTTGCACATGTTTTACATAAGAGTTGACAATTAGGAGTTAAACCATTAGTTTTCTTTGACATCATGTAAGAAAGAGTCAATCCACACGCTTCACATAATCGTGTTTCTTTCTTATCAAATAAATCCTGCATAGAAATTTTCAGTTCCAGTTAATGAATTATCAAATAAGACCAGACTTCAACAACATTCAAAACTTTGTGGAGCAATAAGTTACATAATAAAAACAATAAATAAAGAGGAAGCATATTACCTAGTTCAGAAAATATTTCCCTGCTCTTCCATACTGGTTTTAAGCACATACCTCTCAGAAGGAGGATTTCATAATAGTATCATCTATCAACTTCTCTGTGAAGCCTTGGTCAGCCTCTATTGCCATTTGGAAGTCAGAGAGACTATAATTTCTCAATTCAGGTTGCTCTTGAAACCTAAATCAAAACCATCACCAAGCCTAGTGAGAATATAAGAGAATAATTAACTTATGTTTCGTGAGGAAATCAGTTCATCAATCCTTCTTAATGTCCTTAAGAAAATAAATGACTCAATAATCTGGTTAATGTCCCAGCAGACACTTCCTGTGAGCTTCCTTTGCATTTTCATTTTCTATCAGTTCCAACCATGTTCAGCCAGCTTCACTTGTCTATTCTTCACATCAACCTTGTTTTCACAGAGAACAATTGGGATGTTTTCACAAACCCTGAAAATAAGTTACAAAAGGAAGTGTTCATAAAGCAATAAGCATAAAACAAGATTCAAAAAGTACGATTATACATTGAAATCCATAAAATCAAAACACATAGACCCCTCAACCATAAAGTCATAAGTCAAGTAAATTCTCAAAAAACTATAAACAATGAATTGAGTAAGAAGCAATCAAAACTAACTTCGAGGAACCAGCTGGTTCACAAAAATCTCCCTATTTTTCTTTAACCATGCTTTTATCACATTGGGTTTTTCTCGTAAAGATTTAACAAGTATTTGTACAATCTCTCATTTTCTTTTATTTTAAGGTGTTGTACGTGATATTTGGTTAATTTGAAGTGCCAACATAAATATTCTTCCTGAAGAATACAAGTACAAAAAGAAAACATTTCCTTAAAAATAAAAGTACATGAAAGATCTTGTCACAAAAATATACAATGATGGAGACAAAATCATGGTTAGTTTTACTCACGTTCGTCCATCTTCAAATTTAAATAAAAAAATGAGAAAATAAATTTTGTTTTTAAAAAATTCTAGAAATAATTTATTCATTATTATATTTAACTGCTAATAATTGATCGGTGTTATAGCTTAGTAGTTAGTTTGACTCACTCTCCCTCCCAACAATTATAATAGATTGGACATGGTTTTTCCAATAAAATTATGTGTTAGATTTAATGTTATCTCAAAAAATCTCATCTCATCCTTGTTTAAAAAATTAAAATATTTAATAAGTACAATTGATCTTGGCTAAAAGGTATTTTTTAGTGGCAAATAGAATATTATTAAAAAGATAAAAGTCACTAACCATAATAAAATATTCGTAAAAGATAAAAAGTAACTAGAAACAACGGCAAATAAACTGCATATAACATAGAAAAATAAACAACACAAATAAATAAATAGTGTAAAAAATATAAGTCCACCCAAAATCGAACCATAATTATTTAAGAACCATCTTACTAATCACATATAAGATATCAAACCAACCAAATTCATTATTAATAGATAAGATCTCATCGGAAAAAGAAAAAAAAGTCCATTATCATACTTTAAATCAAGACAAACACTCGATCTGATATAGGTACAAAATAAAGATATGATTTTGAAGACAATTTGTGAAGGTACAAAACTTCTCCCGAAATCTACTCATAAAACATTTCCAAGCTAAAAAATACTCTTTTCCTCCAACTCTCTCGTTGTTTTTGTGATTTCGTTAAAAATGACATCATTTTGGGCTTTCCAATTGGACCAGACTACGACATGTCAAACTAGAAAATAACCACCCATATATTTAACCATGTCTCGTAGAGAGCGAAAAGACTCAAATCACCCTTGGATCCTGATGAATAACTACCTACCACCCCATCCACCAAAAAACTCTATGTCACAGCGACGAGACTACCTCATAACACTACGCCAAAAATAAGTTACGAAAGCGTTTTTTTTTCCTTTAAAAGCGCTTTCCAAGGTGGCGCTGCTATAGGTTTTAGCAGCGCTTTTTGTTTAATGAAAAGCGCTTTCGTAGGTCTACCTAATACATCACTTTTTCTAAAAAGCGCTCTCTTAAGTAGGCTTTTGGCAGCGTTTTTTTATGAAGAAGCGCTTTCATAGGTCTACCTAAGGCAGCGCTTTTTTCTGGAAAAGCGCTCTCATAAGTTTTCTTTTAGCAGCGCTTTTTTCTAAAAAAGCGATGTCTCAGGTAGGCTTTTAGCAACGCTTTTTTCTGGAAAAGCGCTTTCATAGGTGGTCTTTTAGCAGCGCTTTTGCCTGGAAAAGCGTTGTCATATGTTTACCTTAGACAACGTTTTTTGTGAAAAAGCGCTTTCATAGGGTGTTTTTTTTAGAGGTATAATTTATATAATTCATATACCTGCATTGTTTGCAGCATATTATTTATATAAACCAGTTGCCATAACCTGTAATTCATAAACCGCGGTAATACATTGTATACCATTGTAATCCAAAATATATATACACCATTTTTGTACCTCAAAATATATAAAAACCATTGTTATCAACATTGTAACTCAAAATCAGTCTTACAAAATCAACCCTAACAACAACTAAACCAGTCCTAATGTATGAAAGAAACACGGTCAATTATGTATTAAGGTCCTGGTCCTGCGAGGTTTGAACATAATAACACGGTCAATATGGTATTCCATGTACACATGTAACGTATTCATAACACTTTTTACATAATAATATATGCATACCTTATATGATTCTCTGCTCAATAAAATATTGACACAATTCCTCTTTGATTTCTTCCAACTGAAGTTTCGTGTAATATGCACATTTGTATTCATCGAAGTACTACATAACAAAATATAATATGCATGATTTAGTTAAAAGTAAAAAATTATATGAAATATCCGAGAAATAATAAAATAAATCCTAAGTTATAAATCCATACCGTGACTGAAATCTCTATTTGATTCAGTTGAAGGATTTCTTTGATAAACCGCATAACGAAGTATCTGCAATCTATACCGTTTTGCTGTTGAGGACACTACATAGAAAAACAAATAAGAATATATAGTTGTATTATTTTATCAAATAGCATAAATATTATAAGCAAAATAGTGGAAATTAATATACCTGCACTTTGATCCAATTAATGTTGTTTAATTTAAACCGTCGTACTCGAGCTTCTCTTTGACACCGGAATACTTGTATCGGTCTAACAAAATAAAAATATATATTTAGAACAATGTCACAGAAATAATTAAATATATAAATACACACAAATATTTAGAATAATCTCACTTACGTATCAATCATTAACTTCATATTCGGATAATTTGTCCAATCACCGCCAACCGAATTCAGATAATAGACCACTTTTTTTATAGGATCGATAGCAACCAACAACCAGTGACGTCTATAAATTAAAACAACAGTTTAGAAGAAAATTTTCTACGCAAAAATTACAAATATTAAAATGAACTTAGAATGAAAAATCTAACCCTGTAGGAATAGTATTATACGCCCAAAGATATAAGCTTTCTGTACTGCCAGTTGCCATGAATATTTCGACTAAGTGCTCTCTTACTGAATCTGGTTCCCTACCAATTGTCGCTCTGCTGACACGGGAGGAAGACACGAAATGGAATCTGTTTGACAATTAAAATCCTAAACTACAAAATTACATTAACTTCACACTTTGTGCATAGAGAAGTTTCATGATCAATTCTTGAATCAATCCATGATAATCCTTGGGTACACCTCTTCTTGAACGACCCTTAACTCAAGGCCACAGATTTGTCATTTATGTTCCTAACATCTTGCTCCAATTGCACCAACATAAGCCTGTCCAAGAAATAAGCCATGAAACAAGTTGTTGTCCCTACTACCACCAACATAACACTGCAAAATTACCCTACTACCAACATGCCACAAAACCAGACCTATACAATAGTCCCCAAACCTGCATCATAACCATGCACACTGCTGTCCACAAAACTAGACCTACACAATAGCCAAAACCTGCATGAAACAACCAAGCAAAACAATCCAAAGTATGTGCCAAACTTAGACAAAAAATGGAAAAAAAATCAGAAACTGCAACAAAAAGCATCAAGCCAGTGCACTCAAATTGTTTAAACATCATTCATTTCCCCCAAATCCCATATTACTCACCAATAAATAACTTCCTCAATAATAGATAAAAGGAGGAGAACACACCAGAAAAACACTACAAAAATCCTCCTTGTAACCTGCTCCAACACACAACATCACTAACCTCCAATACCTCTTCAAAACTGTGACAACCACCTCCATGCTCTTAACTCTCAACAACCATCACTATTACCTTTCTTCATCAATCCTCACCCCTGCTTCTTTGATTCTCATTATTCATGAAACTTCACACAACTTGCTCCCTCCAACTTCACTCATATCTGAAAACACTCAAACTTCCTTCAAACAACCTTCATACAACTTTATTATTTATCCTTGACCTCGTCAACTATTCTCGTTCTAAAACCCCCGTTATGTTATCAACAAAATCAAGAGACCTGCAAACTTAACTTCACCCCAACCAAACTGTTTCAACAACATCTCAACAACAATTCACAATTGAACACACGACTCAACTGAAACACAAAACACATGAAATTTTCAGAAGAGGAACATAAACGCAATGACATACATCTAAAATTCCAGAAGAAGAAGAGAAGAATAAGGAATTTATAAGCATACCTGAGCAAAATATCTGTGGATTTGTTTTCATCGTGATTGAAACACCGTCGGAGCGACTCCGACATGTAAGTTTTTATCCCTTCTTCATTTTTTTGTTAATGTTATTCTTGATGTGTTGTGTTCATCTGGATGTTTGCGTCTATGTCGCGAGGAGATGATAGATAGGAACGGTGAATCAAAATGAAGACGATTTGAGGAAGAACCGTCGCAAGATGGATGATGGTGATAGACATAGAGATGCGAGATTGAGAGAGTTAGGCTCCGGAGATTGCATGAGGCCGAGTGAGACGAAGTTGTACGACAGAGGATTGATATGAGGGAGAATAAAATTGAGAGGGAGTAAACTCTGATTCAAAATACGTTGAAGCATTTACCAGTTTCTATAACCTAACCCTTCATGTTGGGCCTCAATGCCCATGGCTTATTAACTCATATCCTGATCCAATTTTGCACCCTTGAGCTTTCCATTTGTGTTTTGATATTTATTATAAAACTACCTATGAAAGCGCTTTTAAAAGCGCTTTCTAAAGGTCATCTATACCAGCGCTTTTACATCAAAAAGCGCTTTCGTAGCATATCCTATAGCAGCGCTTTTAAAAGCGCTTTCTAAAGGCCAGCTTTAGCAGCGCTTTGGAAAAGCGCTTTCTAAGGCTGACCTTTAGCAGCGCTTTTGAAAAGCGCCTTCTTAAGGTACCCTCTGAAAGGCCAGCTTTAGCAGCGCTTCCCAAAAAGCGCTTTCTAAGGGTGACCTTTAGAAGCGCTTTTGAAAAGCTCTTTCTTAAGGCACCCTTTGAAAGCGCTTTTTTAAGCGAATTTTTTTTAAAACCTACAGCAGCGCTTTTTTCCAAAAGCGCTTTCTTTTATGTGCTGCTAAAACTTATTTTTGGCGTAGTGTAAGTAACAAAAATATGAAAAACCACCTAAATCAAAAAACCATGGAAGCGACAAAAAAGCCTAGTAGGGTCATAAAACACCCCTCTTCTGAACAAACTATCTCTAGAAGGAAATTTGTCTTGCAAAAGCTATCAGGAGAAAACCATGATCTTCGACGGAGCCCAGCTACTCCAAATAAGGGGAAGGTACTCGCTATGTTTCAAAAGCGAGGTAAAAGAAGAAGTCGAGTTCTCCCTCTAGACAAGGTAAGCAGAGGCCATTGAAAAGTACCCTTACTTGAGTGCTTCCAAATTTACTTATATTTGTCTAAGATAATGGTGGTGTGTTTAAACAGGGAAAGAAACTCATCAAAAATGGGTAACTCTTTAAGTAATAAATGTCTTCTCCATCTAGGATAACAGCTCATGACATCATTAAAAAAATTTGCTATCTTTCCCATTAATCCCTTAGGTATGGGAGAATTTGAAAGCAAACCACGAAGATGTGAGCATACAAGTAGCACATCATACTAGAACATACAACGGTGACAGAAGTAGTAAAAAACCATAAACAACCAGAGATCAAGCAAGGTGGTTGTTATACATAATTTATATCAAGACAAGCTCATATAAATAAATCATATGCACACAATCATCAGTCCCCCTTTTTTCATAATTTGGAAAAAAGATAGACATTCCAGAGCAATACTTCCAAACATTCTTCGAGAAATTTTTATTTATCAAGATTTTATAGCACAAAATCTTTAACCAATGTTAACTAAAAATAGTCTATAAGCATGAGCTTACATATGACCGTAGCCCATAACTTGAATATCATCATATCATCGTCTCCCCCATAAAATTGTAGTAGCAGCAACAAGTTAAGGTGGAAAAGTTTCATCAAAGACCATATCAGTTTCATCAACATGTGCCTAGATGTGTAACACAATGTCAGCCACATCTTTCCAAATATTCACAATGTAACTCAAAGTCGAACACTTGGGGAAGCACCAATCTCATCATCAAAAATAACATGAACATTGGAAAGACTAATGTCTAGAACATCTTTCACATGAGCATCACTAAGAAGCTCCATAATTTCATTATACTTTAGAGCTTCAACATAATGTTCTTCTTCATCCTTACTTGCAATTTCCTTTTTCTGGTCACATTCTCAATGATTCTCTTCATTATGTTGGAAAAAGGAATTTCATCATCATCGTCATCCTCCACATTATTTTTACCTTGAACCTCGAGCTCTTCATTTTTTAGGGTTCTCGTCCTTTAAGTCTTCAGTAGAACCATGGTCTTCATTCAAGATATTATTTAGGTACGTATCAAAGATAGGTATATTATCACTTGATTTAGTAGTGGGTTCAGTAGGAGGTTCAACAGGTGGTTCACCACTTTGTTCACCATGAGGTTCAACATTTGGATCAATGTTGGTTTCAGAATAATCAACAATATTCTCAATATGAGTGGTATCAGCATCATTATCCCCCATTATATTTATTCACAAAATTAATAGGCTTATTACCATGAGCATGAACATGAGTGTCTTTATAAAAGGGGCTTGCCTTTTCAGTTGTCTTACTCTTCTTGAAGTCAGCATTATTATCTCTTTTCTTTGGAACGTCAACGAGTAAAATCATCTGAGGAGGTACAACATTGAGTATCATATCTTGTTCATCAAGCTTGGCAGCTTGCTCATTCTTCCTTTAAGTTAGAAACTCATTCACCAACATGTCATACTGGTTTTCTGGCACATCCTGGTTGACATCTTCATTACCATCTTTAAATACATTAATACTGTAATTAATCTCTTTAGTAATCTTATCAATAGAAGGAACCTTGTCTAACCCTGCAAACTTGTTTCTGCCTAAATAGTCATTAATGATGGAAGGGTAAAACTTCACACACTTTTCTCTATCATACACTTTTCTATACTCCTTGTTTCCTTCAATGTTACACTCATCAGTAATGTTCATAATAAATTCCTTGACTAGTTTTTCATAGCAAGGACCACATCAGTTATAGTTTTCATTAACCCGTCAACTTCCAGCAACTCTATAATCTCTTTACAACCAAGAGCTTTATTACTAAGATCTCTTTCATGAGAAATCCTTCTTTTGAAAACATATTTCCACCTCTGAATCCAATGAAATTAAATATTATCCATGGGGGTAGTAGGAACATTCACGTGAATTCTCTTTCCACCAACCTTTCTCCTTATAGTGAGTGGGGACAATGTACATGGCATCTGCTCCATTATTTGTTCCGCACACTTGTTTGAACAACATTTCTCTTCATGGATTTCTTCATAACAGTTTCTCTTTAATCTTTCTCTTATTTTTCACAGGCTTTTCTCTTGGAGTTTTCTCCTTCACAATCTCAGTATCCTTAATGGGGTTTTTGGAAGGAACATCTTTCACTTTCTTCTTCTCTTTTCCTTTGTTAACAACATACCTAGCTATATCTTCATCATAATAACAGTAGGTTCTTCATCAGTTTCATAATCACTAACATCCTTATTTATTTATTTATTCAAGTACCTATTGAGGAAGGCACTTTTCGCATCCATCTAATAAAGTGTGAACATGATGCTATAATACAAACCTAGCAACATTTTGATGGCTTCAAGATGAGAAATTGGAAGTAGAATCTTCATCAAAGTCAACTTCTTTGATTTGAGCATGGTCTTATGGAAAAAGTTGTGCATTCTTTCAAATAATAATCTCATTATTTTTCTTGTTTAGAGGCACCTATATGTCATTCAAATTGTAATAAACATCTTCCTCCACATCTTCTACTGTGTGATCCTCCTTTTTTATGCAGGTTTTCTTCTATTATTATTATTATTATTAACAACATCAACTGAGGTACAACAATATCAACCACAAAAACTTCACGGACATGATCATCATCACTCACAAAATTATTCTCAGGGGGCATATCATCAAATTTTGGAAAATTATAGGGAACAATGTCTGGGACATGTTTCATGACATACAACTTATAACTAAAATTCAACACACTAAGAATAACATCAATTTCAACTTTGCCAAACACAATGTCTTGTTTTTGAAAAATACAATTTCCAGAAATATAAGTAAAAATTGTGCCATAATCACTAATCTTCTTTGGCTTCTTCTTCTGAACTACCATTTATTGTTCAATGTTCAGAGGACCTCCAGCCTGACATCGGTCTTCCCTTTAATGAAAACTCTTTGCATGAGTCTCATAAAGTTCATAAGTGGTCATTCATAAACACAAGTAAGATGTTGAAGCAACTTATATGACATCTTGGTTTGCTTCCCAACTTGACAAACGTCATAAATTTTACCTTTTTTCAATTTTGGGATCAGACATACATATGACAACTTTCTCTATAACAAAGATCCTCGTACGCACAACATTTTTGTGCCATAGCTTAGTTTATGTATATAAAGAGTCAACCATGATGTCATGAACATGTTATTCAACATTCTTGTAGGGGGTACAAGCAATATGAACAAGAATATTAGGCTTGTCACACCAATCTTTTTGATAATGCCTTTGAGACTTCTTATTCCACAAGAGATACATATGTTGATGATGTGGTTGTCTACCATACAATTTACAATTAAAAGGTGGAATGAAGTAGAAAAATTAATGCATGGTTAATGATGTTTAACATAATGTTGAGACTTATTATCTGACATTGTGAAT